TTGATGGTGAGTACATGTGGTGCTTATTTTTCCATTCTTGTGATATCTCATTTCTAAGGATGGGCTCCAGCTCTATCCAAGATAACGTAAGAAGTGCTAGATCACCACTGTTTTTTGTAGTTGAGTAGTATTCCATGGTATACATATACCACATTTTATTAATCCACTCATGTACTAATGGGCACTTGGGTTGTTTCCACATTTTTGCCAAAAGAACAAAGGCTGGTCTGGATGTGGAGAGATAGGGACACTCTTACACTGCTGGTGGCACTGCAAATTAGTACAACCCCTGTGGAAAATAATTTGGAGATATCTCAAAGAGCTAAAAATAGAAATACCATTTGATCCAGCAATCCCACTACTAGGCATCTACCCAAAGGGAAAAAAAGATGTTCTATAACAAAGACATCTGCACTTGAATGTTTATGGAAGATTTTTTTTAATTTGCAAATACAAGAATTAAAGTTAAAATTCAGAAGAGAAAGAAATAACTAATGTCTGGACAGGTGGCAGAGCTTGAAAAAAAGCAAGTCTTTGGTAGCTTAAACTGGCAGAAGTGTGTAGTGTTGCCTGGAAATAAAATAATGCTTAAAAGTTAATTGCCCATTGTGAAAATGGAGGCTGATATGATAATAATCTTTGCTGCATTACTTCCTCAGATAGTCCAAAGGACAGCTGTGAGATCTTAACATCTGTGTCTTTTTAGCTCAATTTTAACCAGCCATCTGTTCTTTCACTTCACTTATAAGGTGGACAAATATAAGTTTGGGCCCAAACAGACCCTTACTTAGATCGTCTTGTCACCTGAATCTGGGCATTTTACTTGGATTCATTCCATTCCTGAATGCAACTGCCTCTGGTTAGATTCCCCAAACTTTTTTGAATCAATATAGACGTGAAAATTGTGTTAGTAGAAATATTTCAGTGGTTAGGGAAAAGATACTCTTAGTTAGTAAACTCTTTAAGGAAAAGCTTCTTGCTTCTAATTTTAGGGGTTATACAATTTCCACCTGAAGCAGCAGCTGTGCTCAAAGCCAAGAAAACAGCTCTTCCTTATAACTTGGGGACTGGGAAAGATCAAGTTTCAGCCCTTGATACCTACAGGAAGTACTGGTATTCTTGATGTTTATGAGACAGTCTCCTGTGACTAATAAATTATCTTAAGAATAAATGAGGCAAAGAGGAGACCTCAACAATAACAAAAGAAAAAATGAGCCAGCAATGTCTTTTGAAGAATTTGCTGGCTTACTGTGCATTGGTAAGTTATCATCTTACTTCTCTGACTCTCTATTCTCGTTTGTAAAGGAAAATAAAAAATTTGATGACAAAATTAAATAGTGAAAATGTGACTGCTCTGAAGACTTAAAAATATTTATAAAGATATGTTTATGCTTTTGTGAATGAATTCAACAAAATTTAATTGAGCATCTAGTGCATGCCAGGAACTCTCCTAGGTTGTAAGATCTACAGAAGAAAAAGAAGGCATGCTTTTTGCCATTGAAGAGCTCACACCATATATATAGCCTGATATGTGTTATAAAAGAAATCTGGACGAGATTGAATTCTAGCATGACAACATTTGGACCTCCACTAACTCATTCCTCAGCGAAACTGGTAGAAATTATTAAACAATAATAATGGTAATGTCTCTGGAAATTGTTTTAAGGGAAAACAGCAAATGAGGAATCATCAATTTTAAAAATCTCTGAAAATTCTATAGGAAAGGCAAGCGTCTGTGGTACTTGAACCAAGAATGCTCCTTCTCTTCCCCCACTCAGCTCAGTGGAAGGGAGCCTCCACTCCATATTTTTGAACACTCTGTTTTCTATCTCCTTTCAGTTGACATATGGGCAGTGGGGTTTTGAAGTTCTTATACCTTGCACACAACAGGGATCACTAGTTCAGAGGTAACTACCACTTATCCATTTTTCAATCATTTTTTAGCAATGCATTTAATTCTTCAACAAACTTCTGCTAAGATTGGTTTTCTGTAGGACAGACAGATGGACCTGAGGATACAAAAACAAATAACACAAAGTCCCTGTTCTCTAGCAGTTCACAGTATAATGGCTAAAGACAGAGAGATTGGGGATGGGGATAATAGAACAATAGGCTCTATGTGCTTTATAATACCTGATGGTGAGGTCAGGAAAGACTTCAGAAAGAAAGAGACACTGAGCTAAATCTTAAAAGCCTGAGGGTATGTTCTTGTGGCAGACAAGGTGGAGTACAGATAGGTGTGGACATACTTTTGGAGGGAAGTGTAGACCACACCACTGAAAGGAACAGCCTGTGCAAAGTAGCCCTTGGTGAAAGATCATGTCCAGGTGAACTGTATCATATCCTTCCCCACTGAGTTATGCAAAGAGATAACAATACATTAACTCCTGATTTTCAAGCTTACAAGGCTCACGGGAAATCAATTAACCTCTTTTTTTTAAAAAACATGCCAGGACTTTAACCTCTTTATCAAAAGTCCTCTTCCTATACACGAACCCCGCAGCATCCTCCATTGTTGGGAAAGAACAGAAGAGGAATGAGTCCCCTAGGTCCTCCCTTTCCCTAGAGGTGAGCCTACCTAAGGTGAAGCAGGAAACTGGCCCGCTGCCACATCAAAGCTCACCAAGAACATGCCGACTCAATTTGGCTGATCCAAAATGGGCAAACACATATTGGAATATACAAATGTCCCCTAACTTGGATGTTCCTAACTTCAGAGAAGAATTCTCAAGAAGTTTGAAGTTAAGCCAGTCAAAGAAAGTATCTGCAAATTCTTTGAACAGAAAGCAGAGTCCTGGTCACTGTTATATTTAACTATGGAGGCGCTGTGTGTCCTATCAACCGCCTTGTACATTAAATTAGCCACACCTTACACTCATGTACTCCCCTGCAATATGTGAAGATATATAACATGCATTATTTCATAGGACCATTCTAGGCTAAGCAGTTCAAGTGTCCTCTTGACTAAGAGAAAATAGAACTCTGTGACATGGTCAATGTCACACAGCTAGTAACACAGCCAGAACCTGAGCACAGCTTTTCCTGAGTTTATAATCTAGAATTCACTTTTTGTATTAATTACGGTTTTGTTTTTCTCACATGACAAAAAGTCCAGAGGAGCAGTTCAGGGTTGCTATAGCTCCTCAATAATACTGGTAAGAACTTAAGTTCCGCCTATCTACCACATCTACCTTTCCTTGTAGAGTCATGCTGGTCCCCTCCTGGTCACCAAATGAATGCTACAATTTGGCTTCGAGTTCACCCTCTGGGAATAAAATTGGTGGAAGGGTTGCAGAGGGGCAAAAGCTGAGCCTGCCCGTTTTTAACAGATAAATATCAGTTTTCCTGAGATCCCACGCAGGGGACTCCCGTTGACACCTGTTTGGCCAGAACTATGTAACATGGTCATCCCTAGCTATAAAGGACAATAGGAAAAAGGGTTTTGCTTTTGGACTTCCAAAGTAGAAAAGGCAAAGGAAGGGAGGGTATTAAATGGCTCATGGGTAAGATAAGCATCCACCATGTCTAGCACTGACATGTTCGTTGACTTTTTAAATATCATCTCTTAATTTTCATTAAATATAATGAATTATTGCTTAGAGTAGCTCTGATTGGAGGTAGGGAGGAGGAGGTTGGAATGTCAGGATAAATATTTTGAATTAAATAAATATATATCCTTATCTCTTCTTTTCTGGCCTTAGTGCTTTTAGACAGAGATTACTCAAATCTAGGATTCCTCAAACTTGTCTTTAATACATCTGTTCTGTATTTTCTCTTTTCATACATCTGCTTTATACTTTCTTTTCTCTTTTCTTTCAATTTTTAATAAAAAATTTAAACATACACAAAGTAGAGACAGTGTATAATGAATACCTATCAACCACCTGCAACAATTATCATTTTGCCAGTCTTGCTTTGCCTATTCCCTCCCTTTTTCCTCTGGAATATTTTATGCAAACTCATTTCATTTTTGATATGCCAAAATGAGTTATTTCTATATGCCTTAAATTTAGTTTTACTTCTTTAAACAGGAGAACTTACAAGAGTTTTAACATGATTTTGAAAAAAAATTAATCAGGGGATAATTGTTATTTGGAAATTCTCTTCTCTTTCTCCTGGTATTTTGACCTCTTGTTACACAAGAGTAACAACAAATTGAAACAAGTATAGAGATAAATTTTAAAAAGAAGAAGCTAAATTTCAAAAGAGCTAGAGGGTTAAGCCAAGTTTCAGCAACCCCTTAGGGAGAACCTATCTACTATGCAAAGCAAAATTTATACCCCCTCCTTAAGATTTAGGTCACAGTTCTGTGCCATGTAAGCTATTCTTGACAATTAATAATTATACTAATTATATCCCATTCAGGTTTATATTCTTTGGCATTAAAAAAAAGTTTTCTAAATCTGAAACCATGTGCTAGATAGTAGCTTAGTGGGAACTGCCACAATACCCTAAATGAGAAGCTGTTCAAAATAACAGCTCCTTCTCTTTTAGAGATTTTGAATACCTTGACGCTCTGCTGTCTTTTTCTTAAAGACCAATAATCCAGAGCATTAACATCTATTCCCAGTTAAATAAATATGTATTTATTCATTCACAGTGTCATTCGTTTGTTCAGCCATTCATTTGTATATTAATTCATTCATTAAACATTTCACAGGTTCCATATAGATGCTATCACTAAAAGCATTAAGGAATAAGACCCTGGTAAGAAACCATAATTGTGTCTCTGTTTTCATAAAGCTAAGTAAACCCACACCCTAAAAGTTCTACGTGGGAATCAGGTAAAAATTGGTTCTGTGCCAAACATTTGGACAGTAGAAAGGCCAATCTCAAAAGTGTATTTGCAAAAAGTGTACAGTGTCAGGGTAGGAAATGGGCCGGGATGAAAGGATCTCTATATGTGTATTTTTATCATGCATGTGTTGGATGAAGCGGAGAACTGCCAGATAGCTTCTTTTCGACAGCTTGGAGTTACTGTTGGGAACAGATCCATGTATGGAAGCGAAAGCCGAAAGGCACAGATAAGCTGAGATCCAGCTATGCAAACCATGTTTAGAGACACTTAAAGGACAAGCATCCCAGGTCCTTTCTTTCTGGTAAATTTAGAGAAGCCGTCATACCACACCGGATCCTTTTTCACATCCAGCCCATGCGGACCGAGCAGCCAAGGCTTGACAGAGGTAGGTGCAGGGCTTTTGTCACGAAACTTATCTGAAGGATCATTTGCAAATATTCCCTCCAAAGCCCTTGATGTCCTTTAGGAGAAGATCCCAAGTAATATTTTGGAAAAAAGAAAGATTTGAGTTGGGGCTGGTGGCTAAGATGTATGTAACAGGGCAGCTTGGCTATGGAAGGAAAGTGACAGCACAGATTTGCTGCCAAGTAAAATCCCTTTATCCTGGGTCACTTACCATGCAGATTTTTGCGGATACGAGTCTTCTTCAATATTGCCAGTACCTTTTGGAATGAGCCACAGCTTCCGCGGGGTTCTGCTACTCCTTGTGTATTTTAGGCTAGGGTAGGTGGGATTTGTCTTTTTCCTTGCTTGTTCTCCCGAAGCCAGCAAAAACTCGCATGTGTGACTCGTTCTTCCTTAGACATAGGAAGAGCTGCTTGTAAACGACATTATTATTTTTGGCAGCTGAAGTCATTTTTGCAGTGTTTCTCAGCAGATTGGAGGTTGATTACATCCTGTTCAAAGATTCTTGGGTTACTTTCACAAACATGGGGTCTTGCGCAAGTTAAAGTTGCTGAAACCATCTGTAAGCACTGGACTTTTCTCAGTACCTTTAAAATATTTTGTTTCTTTCTGTATTGTTAGTGACTGAACACTTAGAAACTTGAAGGGAAATGTTTCCAAAGGTTATTATCATTTTGTCACCAGTGATGTTTTGAGAATAATAGATTGTGGCAGAATATTAAAACTTATATGTCTTGGGAGTCCAAAGGTGAGAGTGTGAATGTGAAGACAAGACAATAGAATACTAGTTAACCAATCAAATCATAAAAATTGCACTGTGAGATGCTACTCCAGCAAATTACCAAATTGTAGTTATTAGATTAAAGCAGATCTTTTAAAATTGTTAGCAAATAAGCGAACTCCTGCCAATCTCAATAGTCAAGGAAAAAAAATTTAGGTCATATTTATAAAACATGTGTCTTTTTCCAAGATTTAATGTAAATAATTCTTACACAAGATAATGAAATTGAAATTCAAAATTTATCTTGTTGAGAATAATATGTCTATAATTCAAGTTAGATTTGAACCCACTCCTCATTTAGCAAAGTTTTCAGTTTTATAATAGTGTATAAGCCAGAGGGAAAGACATGTTGAATGTGATTTTCCTTTCTTGATGATAGACACGGCATGGAAAATGATTAACAGACAAGTGTAAGAAAATAATAAAAAATAGTTTGTAATACTGACCAAGGAGATATTCTTTGGATAAATTCGATGTTTGGGAAAGGCAATTCACTTGACAGATATGGATGAAATTACTAGTTATATGGTGGTTTCTTCCAAGCTGTGACTGTTCCATCACACTAAAAAAGTGGCAGAGAAAGAGAAAATGTGGTTTTATTTCAATAATAATAATACATGGTCATTATTAAAATAATTATAAAGCTAGAAGATGGATTTTTTCATCAAATCATTGTTTTACATGCCTATTTACATTGGCCACGCATTAAATTAACAGCACAATTAAACATACTCTTTTTACACTTCTAAAATAGGATATTTTACTTCACTTAAAAATGCTAATATTCTATAACTGAAAAGGAGAAAGAGAGAGAAAGAGGGAGAATAAACTGTGCCCTTTTTTTTAAACTAACAGAGACAAGCTGTCATAACTTCAGCTAAAGTGGAACAGGCCTACAAAAAGATGGCTTTAAAACACTTAATTAAACACTACATACCAGCCAGCTTCCCAAAAGGAACAGCACAGCAGGAGTCTTTGCAATTTTCAATATGTAAAAGGTTCATATAAATGATGCCACTCGTATTTGCGAACAGATGCAATGCATACATGACATCAGCTACTGTGTTTTCATTTCCTCACTGCCAAGTACATTTCAAGTGTGCACTCCTCATGAGAAATGTCTGCGCTTGTTTTTTCTCTTGCAAACAAATTCAAGAAGTGAAATATAAGTAACAGAGAATTGCTTACTGCTATTTTTTGTATATAGTATGTCAACATTTATGATAGGAATTTAATGACAGTCAAGTTATTTGCCCTTTTGACTCATGACTTGTTAAGTATTGAGTGATGACTATGCATGTAGGACATCTTAAGGAGATCATATTTTAAGAGGAAAATTGGATGTGTTGGCAGTCTCACGTGGAAAAAAAAGATCTTAATGCTTCATGTCATAGTCAGCTGAGGTATGAAGCAAATTCATGGTGGCCAAGTGTAACAAAAAAGTTGAATTAATTCCAAATAGCATACAGCACAGGTTTGTGACATCTGTCTGCAGGATGGGACCAGACTGGATGGCTTGTGCTACAATGACAAGTACTTTTCAAGGGCTTTGGTAGAGAACAATATTCCCAGGTTGGGAAGGTAAGAGTACGGATTTACTTTTCCTGAAGCAGGAGAAACTTTGACCCACAGGAAAGGTCATTATGTTTCAAGGGAAAAACACACACACACACACACACACAATTGGTTATTCTATTTTTTAAAAATCCCCTTGCTCAAGTAATTAAAAACTGTGAGACATTGAGTGATCTCAGACAGAACACCAAAGATATCAAGAACTTTAAAAATGATACAAAAAGCATAAAACCAGGAGAAGGTGCTGGTGAGGAATTTGAAGACCAGAAAGGCTATATGATTTCTCCAAGGTCATCAGTAGAAAGTGAAGGTTCCCTAGAATCCAGGTATCCTGGTATTCTGATCAGCACTGATCCGCCCGTGCAGTACCTCTCTCAATTTTTTTTATCTTAAACTCATATGATATTTTCAAGTCTCATGACAAAGTCTTAGAAGAAAATTATGTGACAGAATTTTTGATGGTAGTATTAAAGTCTATGAAGTAATGAAAGGGAAACAAATTCAAATGGCACTTCATGCTGGTGAGGAGAAAATGGCCTTTCTTATCCCATTGACTTCTTCCCCTGCAATGAGCCATGGTTTTCAACTCTGTGATTTAGATCACTTAGGGTAGGTGATGTCCACATTGTACCCTGATGAACTAAATGTCCTCATGGGGTGCAGACAAGAGTAGCTCATTTTTTAATTCATTCCATAAAATTCGAACATGCAGCCAAGATTGAGAACCGCTTCCTTTTTGCAATAAAATAAGCAATAACCAGTCTAATTTATTTCAACAGGGGAATTTAACAAAACCCCAGCTGAAGATAAAAAAAATAAGATACTCTTTCCCAGAAAAATGATTTCTTTGAAAGTTTTATTGCTGTAATCTTTGCTGACAGGGAATTCCTATTTAAAAGTTTTAGCATATTTAAAAAGAAGCGTTCTCTATAATAAAGGATTGATATTGATCTACTTGATATCTCCTCTTATACTCCTTAGCCTGAATCCTATGTGAATGCTAACCACAATTATTGAAAGATATATGTATATGTGACATTTTGATTCTTAACTACAGCTGCTAAATGTAATCTTATATTGTTTTAGCAAATTATCAGGCAGCCATCTTGAAAAGACGTAATTTCGGATAGCAACAATTTTCTACAAAATGGGTAATTTTTTTTCTGAAAAGAAAATGCCATGCTTGCTTCATGCTTAATTTTTTTTAAATTTTTTTCACCTTCTATCTTTCTGGTAAGTGCCAAGAAGTTTGGAGAGAGTACATAATTTTTGCAGAAGATATATTAATTTCTCACATAATCAAAATGTATGAATAAGGAAGTAATACTAGCCAAAATACTAAGAGGGTATATAGAGTCCATGACAGACTCCTTCCAATTAAATAGGAGATAAAGACTGTGCTTTCAGAGCCTTGGAAAGAAGATTCTGGATAAATGCTGGTAGAGATCAAATAAATAACTCCTTTAGATTTCACTTCATGATAAGGAAGACTACTCAAGTCAGTATTTGGAGACGATGATTAGAGTGATCAGTGCTGAGGGTGACTGGAATCAGTCTGAGTTTATTTCTGGCTTTTCAGTGTATTAATGGCAGTGAGACTTTGGACAGGGAACCTAATTTTTTAAGCCTCTGGTTTCTTCTCTATAAATGATAGATAATAACATTAATGACCATGTTGAAGGGATTAAATGGCAAAACCCAAATAAAGAGTTTAGCATAGTAACCAATTAACAGAGGTATCATCCTTCAACATCAAATGAATTTCCTACAAGAAACTGATTCATTCTCCTATTACTAGAAATGTTAAACAGAAGAGCAATATCTTTTCTAGGAGAGTATAGATGAATTCTTAAATATCTTTCAAGTCCAAGTTTCTTAACCTATCTAGCACTAGTGCTGAGCATCTGAAATATATTGATTTTAATACTCTTTGATTGACTGATGATGAACATTAAATTCATTTTCTTCTTCAAATCCTAACATGAAGATGAGCCTGAAAACGATCCTTCCTTCCTCCCTCCCTCCCTCCCTTCCTCTCTCTCTCTCTCTCTCTCTCTCTCTTTCTTTCTTTCTTTCTTTTTGACAGAGTCTTGCTCTGTTGCCCTGGATAGAGTGCTATGGCATTGATCTAGCTCACAGCAACCTCAAACTCCTGGGCTCAAGTGATCCTCCTGCCTCAGCCTCCTCAGTAGCTGGGGCTATAGGCATGTGTCAAGACATCTGGCTAACTTTTTCTGGTTTTAGTAGAGGCAGGGTTTTGCTGTTGTGCAGGCTGGTCTTGAACTCATAACCTCAATAGATCCTATCACTTTGGCCTCTCAGAGTGCTCGGGTTACAGGGGTCACCCAACTCACCCAGCCAAAAGCCATTATTTCTGATATAAAAATAAATAAACATAGATATACATTCATTCATGAATATTAAGAGACATAAAAAAATCTTTCAAAGATGAAGTCATACCATAATAGAAGACAAGGGGACCAGTTTAATAATGAATGTCTTAAATCATTTTCTGAACAAGATGTGTTTTAGGTAAATGAGATAAATATCCACTGAATATTTACTCTATACAGAGAAATGTCTTGGATTCCAATTAATAATAATATAAGATAATAATTATAACTCTAGACCATTAACCTGCCAAGCAACATGCCCTCTGAGAGACAAGATGCAATCATACATAAAATGGCATTATGAACCATTATCATTACAAGCTATTTTGTTGAATTTAATATAAAGAAACATAATTTTAACAAACGATTTTTAAATCTTCATGAATTTTACCATTGCTTTAGTTACATGGATAAAACACATTCTATGAAATAAAGTCTTTTGGGGGGAGAGTAAGAACGGGAGTTCCAGATTCAGACAAATCCACGTTCAAATCCCAATTAAATTATCTTGATACATGTGGAACCCTTAACTACCTTCCAAGAACACTTCTAACCAGGTTACATGCATTAACTTGTGAATCCTGACATTACTCTATGAGATAGTCACCCATTTCACAGATGGAGACTCTGACACATAGAAAGGTTAAATAATATGCCCAGCATCACACAGCTAGTAAACTGAGGAGTCAGGATCCGAAAGCCGTACTTAGCCTCTGTGCTACACTGTCCCACAGTCCTCTCATGGCCTTTTCACATTGGAAGCAAATAACAAAATTAACGTGTGAAAAATATTTCTTGCCAGCACTACACTGAATAAGAGCAAAATGATGTTATTTATTCTTCTCAGTTTACTGCTCATTTATTTAATTTCATATGTTTAATGAATAAGCTAATCGTCTGAAATAGTTTTTCTGAGTACCAACTATATAAGAAATAACATTAATTGTTCTTTATAAACTAACTTTTCCAAATTGTCGAGTGGATATTTTTCAGAGATAGAGGTTAAATGATTATTTTGTGACTGTATTCCATCCTCATACTCTCTCTGCCTATCATATTAATCATTTCAATAAACATACTTCAAAATTCCCAACATCCTTCCCCCTACTCTTCAACATCATACAGAAAGATGATTTGGATAAAAATGAGAAAATGAGATAAGAATCACTGAAATGAAAGTGAGTATTGTATGCAGGAACCCATCTCACATACATATTAAATTGTATTAAATTTTGATTCATAAATATAAAATGAAGAACAAGAAATCCACTTGACATTCAATTTACCTAGTAGATTATGCTTATGAGCATAGGGCCTTGGGGAACTCAACCCACAATTTTCACCAATATTGTGAGTTGTGCATTTAGTTTTATAAAAATTGCAATGAAATATATTTTAACTCTGGCAATACAAATTAGTTAATAGAGAAACTGGTTACTTTTTTATTTTTGCCGAAGGAATTTAATGAAAGTTTGTCTTTTCCCCCCTCACTTTCTAGCATGCATGTGCAGAGGAAGAG